TGCATTCCGGTTACCAGAATTAAAATTTCTCTGAGAACCACAAAAGTGCTAACACATCTATTTGAAGTGAAACACAAACTATAATTTCATTAAATTAATGAATTCTTCAGAAACTAACACTCTTGCTTTGATTTAGCTGGTGGAAATTGTTGGCAGTTCTTACCGCTCTATAGCATTATATAGAAGAAAACTTAAACATGGATAAACAGATTATAATTGACATAAATTAATACAATAGATGATTAACATAAATTACTGTAATGCAAATTATCTGATACTCCAGTTCCAGGCATTTTCTGTATCACCAGAGGGCGCTGTCTGAAGGTACTAGAAGTGCAATGTGGTTAGATTATTTTATTTGTGCAACAGTAATACATGTGAATTATAGAGACAACAGCATGTTAGTGAACTGTAACACAGACTGCAGGAAGTCAGCACAGCTACACTGCCACCACCAACATAGGTACATTTCTCATGCTCCAGACACTCAAAGATTAAGTCAGTTCATCATTGCTTTTCATTGTGGTTGTTATTGCTATGGTAACAGTGTCATGCTTGCTTACTACTACATTAGATACGCTGTGCTTACTACGAAAGGACAGGACAAAGAAGACGCATTACAGATATGAATTGAAATAGAGGGATATTATTGTTTATTTTAAATTTGATTATAAAAGCATCTAAAATGGCATTTTGGTTTGGATAAGATGTTAAACTAACCGAGTGCAAACTATGGTGTTCAGCCAGTAGTGGCCCCTTTTGGCCTTAGACAATAGCACTTTTTATTGCAACTGAGTGCAAACTATGGTGTTCAGCCAGTAGTGGCCCCTTTTGGCCTTAGACAATAGCACTTTTTATTGCAACTGAGTGCAAACTATGGTGTTCAGCCAGTAGTGGCCCCTTTTGGCCTTAGACAATAGCACTTTTTATTGCAACTGAGTGCAAACTATGGTGTTCAGCCAGTAGTGGCCCCTTTTGGCCTTAGACAATAGCACTTTTTATTGCAACTGAGTGCAAACTATGGTGTTCAGCCAGTAGTGGCCCCTTTTGGCCTTAGACAATATCACTTTTTATTGCAACTGAGTGCAAACTATGGTGTTCAGCCAGTAGTGGTCCCTTTTGGCCTTAGACAATAGCACTTTTTATTGCAACTGAGTGCAAACTATGGTGTTCAGCCAGTAGTGGCCCCTTTTGGCCTTAGACAATAGCACTTTTTATTGCAACTGAGTGCAAACTATGGTGTTCAGCCAGTAGTGGCCCCTTTTGGCCTTAGACAATAGCACTTTTTATTGCAACTGAAGCATCAAATCATTTTCAAAACAAAATTTTCTAAATAGGTTTGTAGGTATTATTTTTCACAACCTATAACAATGATTAGATCAGAATGATTGTTCACATTGTAGTGAATTTTATGGGGCTTGATCCAAAAAGCAATACCAGCCGAGAAACAAGTCAAAAGCCAAGCCAAGCCAAGCCATCAACATCTTTCATATTGCAGAAAAAGGCAAGACAATGGGTGTTAAATGCCAATAATAGGTTTTTATGATGAATTAAATACATAAAGCAACAAGTTATTAAAATTTTCTTTCAGAACTAAGTTAAAAATCCATCAAATTATCAGCAACTTAGCCATTATTGTGACTTATTGAAGTGCTACTTAGTGAGGAATCACTGTATTTTAGCCATAGTATTCACATTGAAGTGCTACTTAGTGAGGAATCACTGTATTTTAGCCATAGTATTCACATTGAAGTGCTACTTAGTGAGGAATCACTGTATTTTAGCCATAGTATTCACATTGAAGTGCTACTTAGTGAGGAATCACTGTATTTTAGCCATAGTATTCACTCCGGGCATATTCTAATTTGTTTATTTGAAGAGAATTTAGTATCTTGTATTTCAATTGTAAATAAATTGCTTCTAATTATTTGTGGGTCTCTTGAGAAGTTCATCACTTTGCTATGCATTGGTAATGACATACAGATAGATGAATCAAGAAGTTGACATGGATTAGAAAAAGAGAATGCTTACATAACAAAACAAATAATTAAAACAATGATGAACTGAATTCTTAGGGCAGTGACTGTGAGAAATAACATTACCTGTTGATGAAGGTGGTGGTTGTGGTGGTGATGAAGGTAGTTTTGTTGTTGTCTGTCGATCCATTGGTTGTGTATTTTCTGTGGATTAAGGGTATGGGATGAAACTAACAATGAATGAATGAGTGTGACATGATTACAAAGATAATGTAATGCAAAGAATAATTTAAGTATATTCTATTGTGTAGCAGTTATATTTTGTATATGTACTTTATAAAGTCAGTTTTCTAACCATCTGTCAAATCAAATTTAGATACATTATAAAGATCTCTTATATTCTTGAATGTACTTAAATTATGCTTGAAATGTACATTTTTGTAATGCTACTACAAGATACGTGTTGTGAATTCCATGCAATGATGAGGTGGTGGGTTATTTACATGATAATTAAAACCAGTATTTTCAACTTTTAAATATTGACGCAATTACATGCTTTATTTAAAACAAATTGGCAACAAAATGAAGCTAGTTTACCTTCAGCCATATATCAAAGTACTATTTGTACAAACACAATTAGTGTACTTAATTGTTCTATTAGTAACATGCTTATATGAATAACGAGTGTTTCTGTGGTCAGAATAAGTAACTAGTGTATTTTAATGAATTAGTACACACATCCAATTTGTTATATGGTTCTTTTATAGAGAAGTGATTTTAATAGAGCATATGAGATATAAGGGACATATATAATGCTTTAGTTCTAGTCTATTCAATGATAAAATGAAGTTCCACAACTTTACAAATAAACTATCTTTTTTTGCATACTAAACGACAATACTCGCACACTTGTTAGTAACATCAAAATACAATGTTATGGTCACTGCTGCTATTTTTGCATCATGATGTTGTTGATAGTGTGTATATTGTGTTTTTTGTCCCTACAGAGGGCCCAATGAAAATTACTTTATTGTATATTGGCCTACCCTCTTTAAATAAAGTGTTAAATAAATAAATAAATGCACACAATCATTGAAAACACTGATTATATAAATAACAATATACTTTTACTGGTGATTTCATATAGATAAGGTACAACTCTTTTCACAGGTTCACTTTAAAATACTGACAGAAACAAGTCTATCCAACAAACATGGCAGACATGATTTCTTGGTGCACCCATCAAACAAAGAATTTATAGTTTATTTTATTTAATAAATTAACAACTACATAGATACATTAGATACTTACGGTCAAGCCTAATAATTTTTGATGTTTTTCCTTTTGGATTGCGGATTTCACATCTGTACTCGCCAAAATCTTCCGTTTTAACATCTTCAAAGGAAAGCTTGGTCTCTGATTCGTTGCTATCAAC